GAAGCATCTGGGTCTGTCTGCCTCGATCTTGAGTATTGGGTATTCAGAGCATGAAATAGAAACACCATTGTCCAGAACGGTGAGAATAAAGGTGACACAGTCCAAATCGTGATGTTTTCTTTTGATTCAACTGAATCTCAAGAGCAGCAGACTCTGATGCTTTACCATTGGAAGTTCCTCTATGAAGGTATGGTGTAATGATTGCATTTGGATGTTTACTTTTGCTTTGAGAGAATAATCGTGCACTTCTGCCCGCTAGGTTCAAACACTCTGCCAACTCTCTAGTTAACTTGCACCCAGAGAACTATAGCAGAGGCTAGTCCTGGTATGTGTGTTTATGAAACATGGTTCACCCAGTTAGAATGATGTGATCTGGATTTGGTGACTGGAGGTAGTGTACCCCAGTTGTAACATGAGAAGTTCTGCTACTTTTCCTTTTCTTCTCTGAGTAGCTCTTGTAGTCTTGTCACTGTTCTTAAGCATCACGCCACTGCGAGTGGGAGAAATGACCCTCAGGAAGCATATAGTAATGGTAGCCAACAGTTGGCCTGTGGTCAGTGAAGGTGAACACTGAAATTTTACGTTCTCCAGATTTTTTAAGAGGGAGAGTTCCCTTGGGGTGCATGCTTTCTCGGTCCTTGCCCCTCATCTCTTCATTTCATGCGTAGTTTCCACCTACAAATAGAGAGAAAGGCACACCAGTGGGGCTAACAAGTCTTGTGGACCCTCTTTCTGACTGTGGTACTCAACGCTCCAGGGGGGGGATCTTTTTTTCTCCAGAGACCTGTCAGATATACCTCTACCTTTATTGTTTGACTTGGCTGCATTCCCATAAGTGTGTGCAACATGTAAGGTACAGAAACTCATCATGGTTTTAGAATTTTAGTTTGTTTTGAAGTCATAGTGTGTTTTCCAACCGTAATTTGCTCAGATTCATAATCTCCCCTGTGAGCTGTATGAATGTCCAATTTTGAGCTCTGATGGAAGACACAAAGTAAATAAGATGATTTTGTTTAGTTAAAACAATTTTAAAAGAAAGGGAAACTTTATATATACAGTCTCAAAAATCCCAGACCTCAGGACATTTGTAATAGAAATCTGCCCAGTAATTATCGTTTTTGAAAAATTCTGGCAGACATTTAAATTTTACCAGCTGCAAGGTGAATAAAACATTGAGTTTCTTGGCTAGCATTAGAGTATATCAGTCAGTGTGGTAACTCTAGTTCTCATGCTGATCAAAAAAAAAAAAAAAAACAGCTCTGATTCACAATTAAATATTTACTTCGCAGATTAAATGTTTGAAAACGAACTTTACTTGATGAATGCTGTTTGGCAGATTAAAGCCTTTCAAAATATGGACCCTGGGAGGAGAAGTCTGGTGGCAGCTAAGTCTGCAGAGGTCCTAGCGGCCATGAGTGACGTCGTGTGAAGCAGTGCTGTGTGTCTCTGGACCGCTTTGTTGCTCTCTGCTGAGGCCTGTTGTTGTGTGCATCTTGGGTTATAAATGGCAGGAGTCATGAGTGGAAAGGCAGGAATTTGGGACTGTTTTCAGGTGATTTTAATGTCGAGTGTAATTTTTTTAAGATGTTCACGGTTTTTCTATGGTGGCATAAAACCAAGTGTGTTTGTGTGTGTGAGAGAGAGGTAGAGACTGTGGTTTGCAGGGGGCGGTCGGAGAAAGCATGCAGCATGCACTAGGCATTATTATGTCACATTAGAATGTTAAATGGTTAAGTGTTAATGGTTAAAGAGCCAGCGTGACTCTTAAGTGATAAGTAGGTGGGGGCAAGTATTTTATATACATAAATTGAGTATAAGAATCACTCCTCTGGGAGTGGAGATGCCTTGATTTAATGGGAAGAGCTTGGTAACTTTAGGTAAATCGCCTCCCCTCTCTGGTCAGCCTCCAGATAAAGGGGCGGGGGGATGAAGAAGATGAACAATAAATCTTTTAAGGTTGCTTTGGCCTCTTCAAAGGTGTGATTCTAATTATCTTCTGTGTTTCCAGTGCACAAGTTTTGAAAAAAAAACTTAAAGTCAAGCAACCTGAGTTTCATTGTTTTGCAAATGGCTTCTTCTTAAATGTTGACTAAATGTTAAATGTGATACTATCTTATTCTAGTCCAGATCTAACAAATCAAGATAGAATCAAGATAAATATTGAAAGATCCAAATGATATTCATTCAATACGCAGGTAGAATCTCTTTATACTTAAAATGTGTACAAAATGGCTCACAATGACCATCAATATGACTGTTATTCCACCCCTGGGTCATGAGGAACATAAGCTGGTGTGTGAGGAAAACACAGAGCATGGGCGGGGGGGGGGCGGGGAAATAAAACTTCTGGTATCGTGAGACATCCAGTAATACCTGTGAAGGCACTTTTGGGTTTCTAGGGAGCTCACGAGGGAACCATGAAGATTAGGGTCACCTATCAGTTGTTAACCAAAACAGCTGTTGTTGCTGACAGTGAAGTTCATTAGGCTGGAGCCATTTGCTTAAATCAGGAACGACAACGAAAGCAGTGTCAGGGCTGGAGGATGTTGGGGACAATTACACAAAGAACAGGTTCATGGGAGCAGGGGTGAAAGGAAGTGGCCCGTTTTGGGCGGGGCTGCCACGTGAACCAGCTCCCCGCTGGCTCCGGACTGTGGCTCCCCCAGGCCTTCCCAGCCCACCATCTTTGCTGCCTTGTTTTGAATGCATTTTACAGCATCAAAGGTACGATGAGACACTGTGTTTTGCAACTTGTCTTGAGTCTGCCATTTTGAATGGAGCCAATTTTCACATAAGTAGCAGTGCTAATTACTAGCCCTTTCCAAATTTAGAGGAACTTCCAGAGCTTTTCAAAACCTATTCAGATTATAGGCCTCATTTACGCTGTTCAAGCAGGAATTACAGTAGTAACTTCTAACATGTAGAAGCAGAGGCCTCAAAGCTTGACAGGCTCCCCGGTCCAACTATAGAACTGTTACTGTTTCTAACAGAAATTGCATTGTTGCTAACAGAAGCGAAGTTTACTTTTATGTTTACAATGCCACTTGACTTCATTAAAAAAAAAAAAAAAAAGATCGTTAAAAAGCTATCTTTGAATGGCTGAGCGGTTTGGATGCCCAGCACTGGTTACAGCAGGAAGGCTTCAGAGGTGACCCTGTGGAGAGAGACTTCACTTTAAAGTTGCCAGTGGACACCAAGTCTGTGCCACATTCTTCTGGGCCCTGGGGCAGATGTAAAGTTGAGTCCTCTATGGTGCTGCCCTCAGTACATCAGGTCAGAGACTGGACGAGGAGACTTTGGAGAGCGGATAAGATCTAGAACACGGGCAGGTATACTGAGACACTGTTTACACCTGAGCACACGCTGCTATTCCCCTCCCGTGGCTCCACTTTTTGGAGTGCACGTTAGCACTTTCAGGAGTTTGGTTAAGTCTCCTGTGTCCTATCAGCCAGGGGGTCTGGGTCGGAGGGGTTAGTTTTTAGCAGACACTTACCACGGTCTTTAGTGGAGGGATCCGGCCAGTTCATCTTTCAGCCCCATACACTGTGCTGAAGACATTAGTCTGAGCTACTCTGTACTGAATCGCACGGGTCCCTCCCTCTGCTTTTATGTAAGCCTCCTGCATTTGTGTAGCTTGACCGGTCATGAATCAAAGCTCAGCTTGCCTCAGTGTCAGTCCCTGCAGTGGGCAAAGAGGCCTCAGATGGCCCCCTGGTCCCCAGTTTTGATTTCCTCCTGTGTGCAGTTGAGCTGGGAATGTTCCCATGGTGGGGTCCACAGTTTTCATGAGGGAACTTAGAGACCCAGCCCCCTGGCTGACTACCTTGGGCTGGTTAGGAGTGAAGTCACCCCTTCTCTCCCCGCCACCCCGCTTTTAAAAATTTGCTTCTGGTACATGCCATTGCATTAGAGGTGGTCTGACTTAAAGGTTTCCCCCAGCCCCCTCTGTTTTAAATTGTGGCAGAGAAAGGTAACATAATTGTCTGTTGGCCCTGGACACCCCCCTGGTAGTTCTCCAGCCTCGCAGAAATTGGGGTTATCTGGGCTTTGTGCAGGGGATTTTTGCACAGCTCCTTCAGTATTGTTCAAGGCAGTAACACATCACTGAACAAATTGCCCCCTTGCATATGCTAATCCTGTACTTAAAAGAACTCATTGTAACATGTTCTGATGCTTTAGCCTGAGGGGAGATGGGAATTGAAGGGACGTCAGATCATGTCATGTGACCCCCCAAATATCAAAAATGCCTGTTTTCTTTGGGTCAACAGTTCGTACTCAGCACATGGGAATGAACGTATCCTGTGTGGTTGGTAGAAAAGATTAGTCCTTGTTCCTGCTTTTGTGTGGGGGAAGCTGGCCTCGCTGTTGAAGATTTCCCTGGCTGAAATACTCGCTTCGGGTCTTGAATTTCAGTGCTGTTGGTGAGGAACACCAAATCTTATTTCCAACAGCAAATTAAAAGAATTCAAAAGAGTTCCTTCATTGTTGCTGTGGAAAATGTGATTTGCCTTTTAGGAAGCCATGCTGTTAATCCCACCTGCTCTCTGTGTGTCTTTTTCGAGGGGCACACACTGTCACAGTCACAGAATACGCCTGATAGAATAATCTCAGCGTTCCGCTCCTAGGCCGTTTATATTCCTGACCAGGAGATTGCAGTGGGAAAGAATAAAAACACATCCACCTGTAAACAGCAAGCTCCCATCTCTCTAACAGTAAAAAGAGAACGGAAGAGCATTTTGAGTGACTAGGGCCTGAAGGATCCACCAGGCTCTGGATGGCTTCATTGCATAGTCAGGGTCTCCCTTTTAAGTGCTTACACCTCTCTAAATGTTTGCCATCAAAGTCTTCAGACGAGATGAATTACATGGAGTGAAAGGTGGTGTAGGTATCACCTTTCTTAAAATAGCTATCACTTCCAGATTGGGTTTTCATGTGTACCAAGAGACCTGGGAAGGAATCTTTGATTAATTTTTTTTCTTTTTTTTGTGTGTGTCTTGCAGAGTAATTCCCTCTTGATCCCAGACAGTCTAAGGGGCACAGATAAACGCAGAAACGGGCCTGAATTTTCCAATGACATCAAAAAAAGAAAGGTGGACGATAAGGACTCCAGCCACTATGTAAGTAAATAAAGGAAACAGTATTTGTTTGCTTACTTGCTCACCTTCTAAGTGAGCATATAAGCATACTCTTAAGATCATAGTGATAATTCCACATCCTTTAAAATAATACTATCAAGAGGATAGATTCTTAGAAGGGTACTATTTCCCTCTAGAGCTGTAAACTGTGCTCGGTCAGCTTACATTTTAGGCCTCCTGCCTAAGTTCCTCATAAGAGGGGATAACAGCCTGCAGGGCCGAACCTGCAGCCTGTGCATTTGCGTGGGGCCCTGCTCTTAAAGGGACCTTGCCCTCGGTTTGACGCTCTGTCCTCACCATCTTCAAATTCTCAGTTTTTGAACCAGGGCCTGCATTGTCATCTGTCCTGGGTCCTGCAAATTTGATAGCCTGTCCTGCTAAAATAACCAGGATAAAAACATTGCTGTCACAGAGTACCTTTTTGGATGCTATTCTGTTGACTTATTCAGGCTCATGTTCGGTCTTGAGGCAGAGTTCATCCTCTTGAACAGCAAGCGGTTTGGCTAGGTAAGTCCATGGTAAAAACGGAAAAAACCTTGGAGGCATCTAGATCAGACCCTGCAGATTGAGAACGCATGACTGTGAAGGGAGGGCTCTTGACTCACATCTAGCTGGAACCACATTTCATGAGGAGAGCAAAACCAAGCTAAATGGCAACTGGCTCGCGTCTGGGGGTCATCAACATTGCAGCAGATAAATGACTTGGAGTTTTCCTGTGTATCCCCAAGTGTCTCTGTTTTAAGACGTACACATTCTCGGGAACAGGATGAGAGTAGAACATGGGATTAGCCCACTTCCCGTTGCTTATGGAAAAAGCGGCCGGCGTGTGGGCAAGATGGGGGTTGCACATGAGGCCTCTCTGCCTCCTGCTGGCTGGTTCAAGCCAATAGCTAACAGTGGCTAGTATTTCCTGAGCGACAGCTTGTTCGTGCCACATACCGCGTGCTTTTACATGGATTGTTTCATTTGACTCTTAAAACAGCTCTGTGAATTTAGTACCATCGCCTCCATTGTAGATAAAGAAACTGAAGCACAGAACTTTTAAGTGATTTGTCCCAAGTTCAGAGTTAGTGGTGGAGCCTGGAGGCAGTCTTAACTCCAGAATCCATGCTCTTGATCACTATGCCAGGATCCCCAAGCTGAGGGCCTCAGAGAAGGTATTTTTTTTTAAAGATTTTGTTTATTTATTTATTTATTTGAGAGAGAGAGAGAGTTAGCAGAGAGAGCACAAGCAGAGCGAGCGGGCAGCCTGACGTGGGCCTTGATCCCGCAACGCCGGGATCATGACCTGAGCTGAAGGCAGATTCCTTACTGACTAAGCCACCCAGGAGCCCCTTGGAGAGGGTATTTTGCTAGAGGTCCTTGTATTGGTCCACACTCTGCACTGTGATAACGTTCTAAGAACTTGGGAGTTGTAGGTTCTCCCCATTCCAGTCCGAGGCTTTGTAGGACATAATGTTTGCCCCTCACCTTTGTCCACAGCCGGTTTCCCCTGCAGGGACTTTTATATATGGCATCAACTGTTAATAAGCTATTCAAAATGTCTATGACATGCAGAAATTCGGAAGTTGCCAGTAATACAGTTTTGTGTTGTTGTGCATGAGGCTCACGTAGATATTTAGTGGTGAGTGATCTAGAATCCATAGCTCTGCATTACTGTTTTATAACCTGCTCATATTAAGTATGTCCAGATGTATAGGTAGTTGAGGGTGATGTATTAAGTTGATGTTGGAGAATCTGGGGCAAAGTCCTCAGACCTTAGCTCTCCGATGACCAGACTACACTGTAGTGTGAAGATTCACATTTGCAGAAGGGTCCAAAACAAACCTAAGATTGAAATTACAGACTACTCAAAAACTCACTTCATAGTCCCATCGTAATAAATGAGCTGTTTGCTTCTTCTTGCTAGTTTGTATACTATGTGAACCTTTTTCATAAACTTTTCTAAGAAAACCTTTGGCTTATATTTTTTTTCACCACCACCATCTTTGGGTTCTTTTTTTTAAGATTTTATTTATTTATTTGTCAAAGAGAGCATAAGCAGGGGGAGCGGCAGAGGGAAAAGCAGGCTTCTCTGCTAAGCAAGGAGCCCAATGCGGGACTGGATCCCCGGACCCTGGGATCATGACCTTAGCCAAAGGCAGGCACTTAACCAACTGAGCCACCCAGGCATCCCATTTTTTTTTTTTTTATATTTATTTTATTTAATCTCTACCCCCAATGTAGGAGTCGAGCTCACACCCCCGAGTTCAAGAGTTGCATGCTCTTTCGACTGAGCCAGCCAGGCACCCCCTGTCTTTGTGTTTTTTTTTTTTCTTTTTAAAGATTTTATTTATTTATTTGAGAGAAAGAGAGATTGGCGAGAGCACAAGCAGGGGGAACAGCGAGAGGAAGAAGCAGGCTCCCCACTGAGCAGGAAGCCCGATGCAGGACTCAATCCCAGGACCCTGAGATCATGACCTAAGCTGAAGACAGACACTTAACTGACTGAGCCACCCAGGCACCTCTGTTTTTGTGTTCTTAACACCTGAAAACATTTGTGCTTTTCTGTCGTCTTTACTAACAGAAAAAGCAAATCTTCTTTTGTTTTATTTTTTTCTTTTATTACATGAAAATATTTTTTTCAGTAGGCTGTTATTTTGAGTTACCCAGGCTTCCTCATTGGTTATAATTTTATATAGTTGTAGTGAATTGCATGGTGCCTTAACAACAGTGATTAAATTAAATCTATAACATACTATTGAAGAAAGTAAATTGGGTCTTCCACATGTAAAACTCTAGGTACAGTTAGAAAAAACATGTAAAAGATATGAATTTAAAGTTGAGGGTAACTTTCTAGCTGGACTTGGAGGCCCCACAGAAAGCCAACGTGGCTAATATTTGCATTTGTACTTATTAGTACAAATTGTCAAACCTTTGTGTATTTGTAATTGACAGTGATTCAGTAAAAGGATTGTGTAGATCATAAATTAGTGACCTCCTTTTTGAGAATTAGGTGAGATCCTACTTCTTTCATAGGCTTATTGTATCACTCTGTACTAAAGGACAGGAGGCCTTTTGGCTAAGAAAGTAGACTTTTTCAGTCTGCCCTAAACTTGATGTAGGAGTGAGCACATAGTTGAATAGCTTTTCTAAAGCTTTTTCAAACTTAGGACAACCTTGCTGTTTCCTGGGTTAGCAAATTGTACAGCTTTATAAAGAGGGAATACAAGCCCTACTGCAGGATGCAGTGCCTTCCAGATTTTGCCATCCCGTGTTCTTCCATCTCTCCTAAAATATTCTGTGTTGATTGCAAAAGATTTTTATTCTTAACATAAGGTTAGATCTTGGTACGTTATCCCAATCAAGTTGATAGCTTTGTTGCTTTTGGTTTTTAGTGTTCCCTTTTTTTCCTTCAGTAATTAGTAACCCCATGGGAACACGGTTGAAGTTTCTCTTTATAATTACAAATGTGAACACTAGATTTGTTGGCTATCTTCAAGATGATACACACAAAGCAATGACATGGAGTCATGTTCTTAATTTGACATCCAGTGGGGAAAGAGCCCTGATAGAAGGCCATGGGTGGATTTCAGATTATAGGAGAGATGCACCCGTTGCAAACATTCATTGAGCTCTTACTGTGCACCCAATGTTTGCAACTTGCTCTCACCTGCATGATCTATAGCAGGTATTCTACTGCAACAGTTCCTGCCTGTGCCTTTGGGTAGCCCCGTGTCAGATAAGGGGGGGGGAGGCAATATTAATGAGTAGGCCTGGCAATCTGGAAGGGGACCTCTAGGCATGTCCTGGGCTGTTTTTCAGTGTGTCTGCTACCCAGAACTATAGGAATTGAACTGGGCCACCAACCCTTTAATAAACGGCATGAACATCTTTTTTTCCAGGATAGTGATGGTGACAAAAGCGACGACAACTTAGTTGTGGATGTGTCTAATGAGGTAACCACACATTTTCTCAACTTTATTTTCAGAGTGACTTACAAGAAACAAAGTAGAGCCATGGTATTTTGGTTTCTCACAACTTTGCACATTAAAAACTTAGTGGTTGTTCACAGATGGAGCAATAGTGGTCTGACAAGAACGTTTGTTTCCTTTAAACAAAAAAATCTGTTTTCCCAGTCATTTCGGATTCCTAAGTTGGGTGCCTGGTGCTCCTTTCCTTCCTGTGCCCTCTGGGCAAAGTATTTGAGCATGAGGACCATTAGGATTGTTCCTGGATGTGCTTTCCTCTGTGCTGTCTTCACAGTGTGTTTGCAACACACACATTGCTAGTCAGGGGGCACACTCCCAAGTCCCCCAGATCTGAAGGACTTAGAGTGCCCTCCTTTAATTTAGAGAATTAGTGTGGAAATAGAGTCCATAAAGGGCAAGGTCCGTCCGTTATGAGTGAAATCACACAAGCTTTGCTTATACTTGTCAAGGACCCTTCTTCTCCGCGAGCAAGCCCCGCCCATTCGCCCAGGGAAAATGGGATCGACAAAAACCGCCTGCTGAAGAAAGATGCCTCCAGCAGCCCAGCATCCACAGCCTCTTCGGGAAGCTCCACTTCTTTGAAATCCAAAGAAATGAGCTTGGTAGGTCTCCTGAGCCGTCACTTTGCCTATGCGGCTGTGTATTTTTCTTCGCGGTTCAGAGGACCCGATGGTACTTGAAAATGTGGGCTTTTACGGAGTGAGAGGTATATTTTTAAGTTTAAAGTGAGACAACTCCTCCTGCTCTTTGTCCCACATGGTGTTTCCTTTCTCCCTCTTGGTAGTGTGTCTTGGGCTGTGATTCGAGAGAGACGGCAAGCTTCCATGTCCATTGCTTTCTTATTTGGGGGGTGTGCAACCTCATAGGAATTTGAAGTCCTGAGTTTACCTTGTTTTAGACTGACCCACTGTGTCGGGGCATGGTGGGATTGGGTTTGGAGTCAGAATGGGGATGTACTCAAGCAGCCTCCAGAGAAGCCTGGAGCAGGTGCAGGGAGGGTGGAGCCTCCGAGCCTGCTTTCAGCCATTCAACAAATAGTGTGGAGCATGTCATCTCTTAACTCACAAAAACCGAGCCATAACAGTCCTGCATTTGATTCATATACAGCCTTCCTAGGCATTATCCCATTTCACCGATGGGGAGGAAAGCCTGAGGAGCTTGCCAAGTTTACACTGCCCATCAGATCCAAGGCCTGAGGGAGCTGCAGTCTCTCCCTAGCCCCATGCATGCTGTTTGCTGCTCCACGGCACTCCTCAGACTGGGATTTAAAGGAATGAAGGGTTGAGATGCAGAGGATGATGCCCTGGGACCCTGTTACTGTCACACTCCTGAAGGCCTCTGTGCTAGTGAGTCCACACCCGTTAGGTAGGCAAGTGGGTGGCAGTGCTTAACTCCACACACATCTCTCAAACGGATAGGAATCCTTCTAGGGCTTTTGCCTTTGAGATGCTGGTTTGTTTCTCAGCAAATCCATGGCCCTGCTGCCCCTCACCATTAGCCTCAATCCCACTGCCACTAAAAGGCAAGATTAGAAAAGGGATCCTCCCCTTGACATTCTTGGTGACCCAGCCATTTGTTTCTGAGTGACTGGGAATTTTTCGCTGGGTGGTCATCATTCTGACTTGGCCTGGATCCAAAGTCCACACGCCTGATGGAAAAATACTTTTTAAAATAAAATCTGCGGAGGAAGAAGTGTGATCATGTTCTGTGTCTCTAGCTAGAGTTTTAATTCTGGCAGGAAGAGGAAAGGTCAACATTTCTCGCTCACAAGTTAATGCTGTCAACATTGTGTGGATTTATGAAAATTGGCTGAGGGAGTAGCTAGAAGGTGCCCAGTGTCCCAGCTGCTGTTGTGATAAATTGTGTAATATGGCTTGGATTAAAAATAATACTCATTTAATTTGTTTAATGATACCAGCATGAAAAAGCCAGCACGCCTGTTCTGAAATCCAGCACACCGACGCCTCGGAGCGACATGCCAACGCCGGGCACCAGTGCTGCTCCAGGACTCCGTCCAGGCCTCGGCAAGCCTCCAGCCATGGACCCCCTCGTTAACCAAGCGGGTAGAGCCTCGCCTCTTGTTGTGCTTTGTTTTGTTTTTCCCTTTCTGGGCTTGACTCGTCTGTGCACTCCTGACGCCATTTCCCCGTGAATATGAAACTCACTCAACTGCCTGCCTCCTTCTTATCCCTGAAAAGCCATGATAAGAAACAGATGTTTGTCCTTAGGTTCAGCAGCTGCACCCTGTTCGTCTCCGACTGTTTACATTTGGCTTTCTCTACCCCCCTCCAATAATCCAAATCCTAGGGACTTCAGTAAAGTTTCCGACAATTATTCCGCACGTAAGCTCCTTACCAAACTGTCACTGCATGTCTGAGTTCCCTAATACTGACCGAAATGGCCAGCCCAAGTGTGCTTCTTGCTTACTTGAGTTGGCCGGTTTTCTCCCGGTCCATCCCTCAGGAATCTGTGGTTTCTCTGTCAGTAGAAACTGGGAGGGTTTCACTGAGACTCCAGCCTGTGAATCACTTGGTAACTTCTAACTTTCTCTTCCTTAACACCTGGGGCCCAGAGGAAAATAAGCCCCAGAATATTCCTCCTAAATCCAGGCTTTGGTTTAGGTAATAAACCCAGGGTCAGGTTTTCATCTGGAATTGGTAGCAGGGAATGGAAAGGAGAAATCTTGGATTTTATCAAAACCTTCTTTTGAGATGAAGTCAGGTAAACAGGTAGTGAGTGCCCTGTGCCTTGCAAAGAGAAGGTTTGCCTTCTGTGATTTGGGTACAGTACTGCTGTTTAATTTTAATTGCCCGGTTTCCCAGTGCTGCCAAGCCAAGGATGAAGTACGTGGGCAGTTCTTCTCCTGGGGTCCGTTCTTCCCTGGAGATGAATTCGGCTGAGTTGGTGGTGATGAAACCAACCCCCCCCCCCCGACACACACACCTCACCCAAGCCTTCCTCCTCGTCCTCGCCCCTCATGAATGGTGCTAGAAGTGACTCTGGAACTGATGGTCAGGCTGAGTCACATCACATGGCTTGTGCTTCCTTTCAGCGGCCGGCCTGAGGACGCCGCTGGCGGTGCCCGGCCCGTACCCCGCCCCGTTTGGGATGGTGCCCCACGCCGGCATGAATGGCGAGCTGACCAGCCCCGGCGCCGCCTACGCCAGCCTGCACAACATGTCCCCGCAGATGAGCGCGGCCGCTGCCGCCGCTGCCGTGGTAGCCTACGGGCGCTCCCCGATGGTAGGTGCTGCGGGCGGGCCAGGGCCGGGACCCCCGCCCATGCCTGCGAACAGAGCCCCAGTGTCCCCGAGCCCGCCCACTGCCATCAGCATGCCGCTGCATTAAGTTAGGGCACAGCGCTTCTGGGTTTACTGTTTTTGTGGATGAAACAAGGCAGTGTTTAGGAGCTACTTTGGCGGTTCAGGGGACATCTGGTTTTCTCCCCCCAAGTAGATTTTTTTTTTCTTTTTGGAAGGCAGTGGAATGACTCAAGTAGCTCACAGAAGCCTTTTCATTCATTTTCTTGAGGGTTTTTATTTTCCCCTCTTTAATTCTTAGGAAAAACTATTTGAGAAGCTGTAATGTTTTCTTTCCATGCCTATATTATCCTTTAAACCCAACAGTGTGACTCAGGTATAAGCAGTGATCTGAGGGCAACAACGAGAAAACAGAGGTGACTGAACCCGGGGGCAGCTTGCCCATCTTCTTGCCCAGCCTTTTATGACTATGTAAATAGTCTCATTTTTGACCGGAAAGATACAAAACTGTATGCAAAGGGCTAAATCGACTGTAATCCTCAGTTGCAATCCGGGAAAGGAACCAGATGATAACCTGTAGCAAATAAAAGTCTGTATATATTTTTCTTGGCTATTTAGAATACGTCATGTTCAGTTTTCTCCTTTCCCCTCTTCAGATGGCATGACCTCCAGTAGTTTGGGCCGATAGTGAAGTTTGTGGGTTTTTTCCCCTCATGTTGCACTAGTAAGAAAGGCTGTGCATTGGAGGGCGAGATAGTTTAAAGCAAAGTGGGCAGCTAAGGGACTAGATAACCTTTGTTAGGGCATGAATGTTTAAGCAGTAACTTAGGCCAGTGGTATGAAACTGGGGGCGATTTTGCCCCCCTAGGGACATCTGGTAATATGTGGAGACACCTTTGATTATCAGAAGTGGGGAATGCTATTGGTACGTAGAGTGTAGAAGCCAGAGATGGTGCTAAATATCCCAAGACAGCCCCAAACAACTGTCTGGCTCAAAACATTGATAGTGCCAAAGTCGAGAAATCCTGACTCAGACAACATACCTGTACTGGTTTGGGCAAGGCAGGACATCCTAAGTCCACAGAAAGTCCATTTACTGTGGGAAGCTGGTTCTCGATGTACAAATAGACCACACTCCAGCCAACCTCCCCAGAAAGAAGTGTGGCCTGTCGTATTTACAGGTGGTTATATTACTTCTTGCATTGTAATTTTTTTTTTTAATGTTTGCACATGTTACTGTTTCTGTTTATGTTGCGTTGGAGATGTAGCAATTTCTAGTGAAAAGTCTTTATAGATGTTCACAAAGTGCCTACTCTGCATAAATTGAGTCTTCAATGTCATTTTTGTTTCCAGGTTGGGTTTGATCCTCCCCCTCACATGCGAGTACCTACCATCCCTCCAAACCTGGCAGGAATCCCTGGGGGGAAACCGTAAGTACCTCTGACTCCTCAGTTTTGTTTTAAAGGCAGTTACTTAGTCATGGCTATTAGCAGACTAGAATTCCAAAGGGAACACAGGCTTGGACGTTTCCAAGGAGATTTCTAGTGTCTTTTCCTGAGGAGTGTTAGCGCTTTCTATAAATAGGCACCTTGTAGGTGTCATGCCTCTGTCTTCTCACTATGGGTGTTCTCATGCATTTAGTTATTTCTGGAGAGAAGCTGTTGTAGACGGGGGCCAGGAGGGAGGCAAGAACCGGGGGTGGTTGGCCCTCCTTGCTTGACCCCTCTTCAGAAAACTGCTCTGCTCTGCCTTTGGTCAGAGGGTAGCTGCTGGAGGTTTTCAACAGGACTGTGCTGTGGGCAGTAGTAAGCTGTCATGAACTCTTGAGATCTCTGAAATTTGAAACATGTCATCTCTCTACCTGGCTCAGTGCTACCTTTTCCTATTTTGGTGGAAACTAGAGTTGTATGATGGGTAGTTGTGGCGTCTGTTGGATCCCAGCGTTGGAGGTTGGAACCTCCCTGCCCACCCCTCCCCAACTCCCAATAAAGTTTGGGGCGTACTTGACTCAGAGAAGTCCAAGATTACAAAACTCAGAGTGGCTTTGTGGGAAAGCATGAAAGATAGATTAAAGGGGCAAAAGAGCATTCAGAATTTGAAAAACCCCGTTGGTTATTCTTCCAGGGTCACTTAAAATCACTTGCTTTCCATATGTTAGTAATTAGAAATGAGATTTTGAAGAATTTCTAAAGTCCTTAATTTCCATACAAAGCAAAATCCAAATATGGTGGGGGGGGGTGGCGGTCTGTCTTACTTCCCAGCATGTACTCTGCTCTTCTGTAGGGCCTTTTACAATTTTGATTTTTCCAAATAGGGGTATGAGTCATAGGCCTTCAGTTTATTTTTCTTATACTCTCTGCCTTTGTGTGGTTGCTCTCAGCTTTCATTTATGTGTCTGCTGCTTGTTGCATATTACATTATTTTGAGTGGTCCATTCAACTACCTGGTCACCTTTGTGTGATTTGAATTAGAGCCTTTCTTCAAATAAACCAGCAGCATGAGGAAAAATGGAATCCTTACTCCATCACCTGCTTTTTGGAAAGCAGATTGCCACGGCTCTACTTTACATGCATTATAATATCTATTTCATGGTAATTTGATTCATGATGAAATGAGACTTTTTCTATACTAAGAACTGGTAGAGAGATGTTAAGAACGTACAGTGACATCTAGGCCCACGGAAGAGCAGGATTAGGGGGTGGGACAGTGTTGTAAATGTTTTCTTACCTTGTAGATCTCTTCTGATTGAATAACCTTGAACTGCTATGTTGTTTATTTTTTGGGATCTGCCCCTCTGCATCCAGACTGGGATTCCCCCGGGCACTCAGTGGGTATTTTTTTTTTTAATTTTTATTGTTATGTTAATCACCATACATTACATCATTAGTTTTGGATGTACTGTTCCATGATTCATTGTTTCTGCTCCACGCAGAACGTGTGCTCTTTAATACCCATCACCAGGCTAACCCATTCCCCCACCCCCCTCCCCTCTAGAACCCTCAGTTCGTTTTTCAGAGTCCATCGTCTCTCATGGTTGGTCTCCCCCTCCGATTTCCCCCCTTCATTCTTCCCCTCCTGCTATCTTCTTCTTCTTTTTTTTTTTTCTTAACATATATTGCATTGTGTCAGAGGTACAGATCAGTGATTCAACAGTCTTGCACAATTCACAGCACTTGCCATAGCACATACCCTCCCCAATGTCTATCACCCAGCCACCCCATCCCTCCCATCCCCCCACCACTCCAGCAACCCTCAGTTTGTTTCCTGAGCTTAAGAATTCCTCATATCAGTGAGGTCATAGGATACATGTCTTTGTCTGATTGACTTATTTCACTCAGCATAATACCCATCCACGTTGTTGCAAGTGGCGAGATCTCATTCCTTTTGATGGCTGCATAATATTCCATTGTGTATATATACCACGTCTTCTTTAGCCATTCATCTGTCAATGGACATCTTGGCTCTTTCCACAGTTTGGCTATTGTGGACATTGCTGCTATAAACATTGGGGT